TGAGGCCCTGGGTTCGATTCCTCAGCACCACATAAGCAAAAAGAAAAAAGCTGGAAGTGGCGCTGTGGCTCAAGTGGTAGAGTGCTAGCCTTGAGCTGAAGAGCTGAGGGATAGCGCCCAGGCCCAGAGTTCAGGCCTCAGGACCGGACCCCAAAAATAAATAAATAAATAAATAAAACTAGTTGGGGTAAATGATTAGTAAAATTGAATAATATTTAGAAAGGGCCATGGTTTTATGGCTAATCTTGCTACAAAGAAAAACACCTTCCTTCTGATAAATAGCTCTATTGTATGTCTGTCAGCTTGTTGAAAAGACATGAAATTTCATGCTCTCACAATATTTCTAAGAGAGAAAAATCGAATCTAGCCAGACACTATGTTTTTGTGAAATAATACTTGGAAATAAGCAGCACTATCTCACTTAGGGAAAAGTAACTTTAATCACAATTTCATCATTATAACATATGATACACTAATTTAATCCTACTATAAGATTCTAGGACATATTTTTTATTTCAAACATTTATAAAATCTTTGCAATAACGATATAAAAAGTTAAATCTTAGCAAAAAATGACGAGCTTGTCCTTTATCTCTATTTTCACTTGATGAGTAAATTTGCTGTTTTTATTAACTATTTATGGGCATTTTCTCCTGGCAGGATACAATCCTTTTCAGGTTTTGCCTTCAAACACATGCCATGGATGGTTTGTTAATAAAATAAAAATTCTTTCAAAGTATAAATGAAAATACATTCACATGATAAAAAATATTAAGTGGTCAAAGTTGCCTATACAGTTACTGGTATGCATCTTTGCAAATATATAAATATAGAAACATAGCTGAAACACATGGTCTAGACTAATGATGACAAAAATAAATATTTACTTTAAGTTGAACCCAGTACCGGTGCCATAAATGCTTTTCATATATTGCTTTGTTACCCTTACAAAAACTGTATAGGGAGAAAACCCAAGACACATTGAAATTAATTTCTCTAATACCACAGAGTTAACAGTATTAGAACCCAGTGGGTTAGTCTATACTGATTGTAGAGAAGAGTTAACATAGTAGGTTTGTAAACCTCAGAAAAGGCTGCCAGTAAGTGTAAGCCTTTGTTGGTATGTGGGAACTGGAATTTTGGAAGGATTCCCATTGTTTTCTAGTAAGAGTGACTCACTATGCCTAAATTATTCATACAAACAATGCAACCACTGCTACATCTGTTTTCTCTGGGAGTCTGGAATTTCAGCTAGAGCTAACTAAGCTGAGGCTATATACCCATTGTGCCACCAAAAAAACCTTGAGCAATAAAAACTTCTAGTCCTAATAAACTCAAAAAACAAATGAATAAGCTGTAATGATCTCTCTTGGTAGACAACATTTTACATGAGTTGACAAAGTAAGTTAGTGGCAAAAACAAATGCATGTGTCACTCTGAAGCTAGCATTATTCTTCCTCCAGATTATGCCCCAGGTACCTTTACATGTGCAGATTTTGCTTTGCATCTTTATCTCCATTTTCTGTATTAAACCAGTTTACTACTGACTCTATCAGTCCCTTAAAGAATCATCAGAAAGGGGTGATGCTGATCAACATGTATTATAATCATAAACTGTTTTTTTTTGGTCCAGTCGTGGGGCCTGAACTCTGGGCCTGGGTGCTGTCCCTCAGCTCTTCAGCTCAAGGCTAGCGCTCCACCACTTAAGCCACAGAGCCACTTCCAGCTCTTTTCTTTTTGCTTATGTGGTACTGAGGAATCGAACCCAGGGCCTCAGGCATGCAAGGCAAGCACTCTACGACTGAGCCACCTTCCCAGCCCCAAACTGTTTTCTTGAATAGCAATTCCTTTGTACAAATACTTAAAGATTAAAATTTTAATGGCTAAAAATAAAACCCTTGAAAATAATAATTTAAAAAAAACTGGCACTGGTCTTGGGGATTTGTGAATTACTACACAAATACAGCCACTTTGGGGACACAGAGATGTAGGGAATAGATGTAAATAGCAGTAGGGAAGTAAAAGCACCTTATATTTCTATAGAGATTTACAGTTTAAAAATGATGTAAAGCATATTATGTCCTTTAATTTCTGCCTAACTTTGTAAAACTCAGTTTTCAAAGCCTATAATTACTAGTCTCTTTGCAGGTAATGAATGAAATATTATATAATAAGTTCAATTTATCCAGAGAAATTCACATATTGGAAAGTAATTCTGACAAAGATTTTCCTTTAAATAATATTGGTTACAATTATGATATTTGTGTGTCTCCTAACAATTTGGGTTTTTACAAGCAAACACCAGGTGTAACACATAAATAATTTCATGTGTAAATAACAATTCTCAATCACCTCTCACTGAAAGTGTCCCTTCCATTTCAAGATTTTAAAACCCTGAACTGGCAAGGAAGAGGATGTTTTAACCTATCTACACTGACCTAGGATGTAGCTTTGCCATTGCAAAGTACATAGATGTTATTGCAATACTGGTTAAATTAATCCTTAAGAGTGTAGTGAGAATTTCAGTCCACATCACAGCGTTTTACCTTATCAGCCTGACGCATATAGCAGTAGAGAATTCCTCTCATACACTTTATAGCAGAATGCTCCAGCTCATGGGTTCTTCCCCTGTTATCATCAATGCGCCTGGGTGGGAGAGATAACTCATGAAACAAATTGGAAATGCATTTGAAAAGAAAGCAGAGCTTTTGATAATTAAGCATTAACTATCTGACTAATCCTGTGTTCTGATGAAGTCTACTAATTCTGTCACAGTGAAACTCAATTTGCCCAGCAGACTTAGAAATGTTGCAATAAAAATAAAATTATACACTGAAATTTGTGTAGTTTTTCCCTCTCATTTTAGAAAGCAAGCCAATTCTTTAAAAATATATAGTATTTTCTACAATGACTGACTGAAACTTTAAAGGATATTTTCATATAAAAAAACCCTACAATCAGATTTTGAAATTCAGTTATGAACTAGAGAAAAATTTTAAGATCTGTCCACTTAGGTTATTCAGTAGCCATCTAGACTTAAAGAAGCACAAGTTAAGGTAGGTACACACCTTCTTGTTCTGCCATGGGTTTAATACTGCCAGGTCAATGATGTCCTCACCCTAAAACAGATCCAGTACGATCTGTTATGTATTTTGGCATAAACTTTTGTTAAATTCTAAGGTCTTAAAATCAATCAACCATGCTTTATGCCTTTTCCTTTCGAAATAAAAGAATAGATAATAATTCTAACTATTAAACTAGGCAAAAATGTTCTTTCATGCATAAGTTGCTTTTATTATAGATCAGTGAACTTTTAAAAGGTTGATGGGAATTACTCATTTTATACTATTGAAAAATGAAAAATGATTCATTCATTATTTCATTTACTCAATTAAAATGTCTGGTAATCATTCTTACTTGATTAGAAACTAGGTTATACTTCCTTACAAAAAGATACTGTAACACTAGGCACCAGTGGCTCACATCTGTAATTCTAGCTACTCAGGAGGCTGAGATCTGAGGATGGAGGTTTGAAGCCAGCCCAGGCAGAAAAGTCCCCTTGAGACTTTTATTTCCAATTAAAAAACCAGAAGTGGCACTGGCTCAAGTCATAGACTCCTATCCTTGAGCACAAAGAGCTTCGAGGACAGTGCCCAGGCCCTGAGTTCAAGCCCCACAACCAACAAAAAGTAAAAAGAGACACTGTAACTGCTACTCCCAAAGATGTCATATATGATTACTGGAAAGAATGATTATTATTTTAACATAGCATAGTGAATATCAGGAAAAAGGAAGTTATTCATCGTTGTATATTATTTGTCCTTTATAATGGAGGCACTGGAGTAAAATGAGCATGAATTTGCACAGTATTCTCCTTCCCTCTCTGATATGACAGAGGTTTGGGGTCAAATTCTATATAGACACTGTGCTCACTGAAATAAGGATATTAAATTCTATTAGATGTTTGAAGCCTTCTGGGAAAAGGTTAATGTCTGACTTTTGTCCATATGCTGCCTGTTCTGTATCTTTTAAAGGAATTTTCTCCTAACATTTTATTTTTTAAAATTTCAAATGTGCAGAAAAGTAAAAAAGGCAACTACAATGAGTCAGGCATTTATTAGTCACCTAGATTTCCATTTAATAAAATGGTATTGTATTTACATAAAATATGTAAAAAATACTTTTAATAATATTAACAAAGAAGTGTGCTAAAGATGACTAGTTCATGGTACCTCAATATTCAATTTTCTTTTAAAAATTCAAAATATTAATCATTTATGAGGTGTGATGTTCATGTAGAAGATATAATTTCAAATCAGAATTAAATACATAGATCATTTTCCAAAATTTAATGTATAGATACTTAATTATGTCTAAAATGTATTACTGACCATGCATAAGGACTCACAGTTCTATGTAAAATAAAACAAGTCAGGAGAAATTCATAATTATGACATTTTATTTTTTACTCTATAAAATAATATTTAAAATTACCACCAGATTTAACTACTGAAATCTCAATGCATTATGTTAAATGAAACTCTAAATCAAAAAGAATAAGAAATGAATCCTAGTATTGGCACTATCATTAGTTATATAACATGGAACAAATCTGTTAATTACTCTTGCGCCAATTTTTTCATCGAAGAATTCAACTTCCTCAATGACTTCTATGATGAAAAGCAACCAAATCAATAGGCATCACTACATAGTTCATCTGCTAAAGAATAAAATGGAATTGTGAAAGCTACGGGCAAAACCATTTTTATATACAGTCATAAAATAAGGCGAATCAGCTGAGCTCTAAAGATTATGGTTTGAAACTAGTCCTACAAGTCAAATTCAAGAGACTCTTATTTCCAATTAACAAGCAAAAAGCCAGAAGAGGAGGTGTGGTTCAAATGGTAGAGTGCCAACCTTGAGTGAAAACGCTAAATTCAAGCCCAAGTACACACACACACACACACACACACAGAGTAATAAAATAGTAGGACTGTTCTCAAATAATCCCTTAGAAAGTGAAATGGTTTAGAGGTTTAACGAGGATATGAGCAGCCAATGCTCACACAGTAAATAAGCAAAAAAACAGAAAGATAACGGCTTGATTTCTCTTGGTCTCACAAAACTCTATTCTCTATAGTCTTAGTTACTAAAAGAATACAGAACAGCCAGCTCACCTGTATGCTAGAGCCAAAGCCCAGGCTCCAGCAGCGCAGTACAGACTGTCCTGAATCTTGGCCTTTTGATCATCACCACATGTTTTAGTTGGAAAGAGCCCTGTGGTTGGACTTTGATAGAGCAACAATGTTGACTTGACTACAATGGAAGACAGACAAAAAATGACTTGTACAAATAATCCATTCATCTTGGGCTCAGCATCTTAGGTTTTCTCATTCCATTTCTGAAAATCCTTTTGTTTCTAAACTTAGCTGTAAGCAAAAACTTTTGAAGCTATTCAATCAGTTCAAGTCACTCTGGCCTATGAGGGAATCCACCCTACCCAATGCAGTCTTCTTAGTCTTTTTTTTTGGTCGGTCGTGGGTCTTGAACTCTGGGCCTGGGCGCTGTCCCTCAGCTCTTCAGCTCAAGGCAAGCGCTCTACCACTTGAGCCACAGCACCACTTCTGGTTTTCTGGTGGTTTATTGGAAATAGGAGTCTCACAGTCTCTCCTGCCCGGGCTGGCTTTGAACCACGATTCTCAGATCTCAGCCTCCTGAGTAGCTAGGATTACAGGCGTGAGCTACCAGTGCCTGGCTGGTCTTCATAGTCTTAAATAAGAATTAAACTAATTAGTAATTTTCAAGCCTTTAGAATATCCTGGTTAATGTGGTATGATTTAAATCTTACTAAAACAACTTCTGGCACTAGGGAAAAATTATTAATCAAAACACTGAGCATAATATTATCAAAACAGTCAGTACATTAAAAATATCTAAAAAAATTTACATCAAAGAATATTATGCATTTGGTAAACCATAAAGGTCAATTCAATAGTATGTTTAAATTATTCACAAGTTAGGAAGGATTAGGAAAAAATAGAGAACAGATCAAAATCCAGTACTTTCTGATTACTAATATACAATATGTATGTGTGTACGTGTGTGTTTGCTTAGTTATATAGGTATATATACATACATACACATATACTCCCCCCCACATATATGTAACTTTTTTATATCTGGCTATATTCATGAAGCTCTTTCTTATTTGAATCCGTTTTTCTCTCTTGCCTTATAGCTTTGACTAGGAATTCCAGTACTATTTTGAGTAAGAATAGGAAGAAGCTGAATACCTGTAGATTCCAACTGTAAACCCAGCTAGGAGGCTGAGATTGGAAGATTTTCACTTTAGCAGAAAGGACTACAGTTTTTCTCCATTTCATGTTAGCTATTGGTTTGTCATATATAGAATTTATTATTTATCCCTCTTCATTATGATGAGGTACATTCCATCTATTCTTAGTTTCTTCAGTCCTTTTATCAAAAAGTGTACTGAATTTTGTCAATTTTTTTGTTTCAAATGGGATGTTATATAATTTTGGCTGATTCTATTTATGTTTATATTATACTTACTGATTTATGTATATTAAACCATCATTGCAGCATTGGAATTAAAACAACTTGATCATGGTGCATAATTTAATGAATTATTGCATTCAGTTTGCAAGTACTTGATTATTTTTGCATTTATGTTCAAAGATATTGTGGTCTATAATTCTCTTTTCTTGTTATATCAGTGTTTAGATATCCAATGGATGTAATATAGGCTTCATAGAATGACAATTAGTGTTCCTTTCATTTCTCTCTTGTGGAAATGTTTGAGTAGCATTGATGTTAGTACTTCTTGAAGGTCTGATATAATTCAGTAATGAACCTATTGGGTCCTGGACTTTTACTGTTTAAGTAAAACTTGTTTATGTGCATTATATTCTTTCGATTCAATTAAGGTAGGTCAAATGCATCTAGAAATGTACCTCTTATTTCTATATATGCAACTTCCATCAAATGTAAGTTTTTTAAATACTTTTTTATTGACATTAAGTGATACATAACATCACAAACACATTGTAACTTTCATCAGGCAAATTGTCATTATCATGATCTATAATGTTTGTGAATTCTATGAGCTTTGACAATACAACTATTTCTTCCACATTGGGTGATATATACATTTCTTTCCTTTTGCTTCGTGTAAGCTGTTCCCTCTTTCCCACTCATTCCACTCCTCCCATCATTGCCCTTGAGTTGCTTACTTCATTTTCATCAATGTTCATTCAGTGCAGCTGATGGGCCCCTCTGTTGTATACATTCCTATTTCCCTCTGATTCTGTGACTTCCTCTTACCTTCCCTTATATGTGCACATGTATATATACCATATATGTGGTCAAGCACACGGAGTCTTTTAGAAATGATATGAAAAATTGAGTGGAGGTCCTTTGTTTCTTGAGTCCTGTTTACTTTGTCTTATCTCCTTGCATTTTGGATTTAAAATCCACATATTAGGGAGATCATGTGCCATTTGCCTCTCTGCTCTTGGCTCACTTCACTCCAAATGATTTGTTCTAGCTCCATTCATTTCCCTGAGAGTGTCATTATCTTGTCCTTCCTAATGGCTGCATAATATTCCATTCTATATAGGTACCACAATTTTGGGATCCACTCATCTGTGGTGGGCATCTGGGTTGTTTCCACATCTTGGCTACTATGAACAGTGCTGCAATGAACATGGAGGTGCATGTGTCCTTGTATCCTGGTTCCTGTTGATCAGGGTAGATGCCTAGGAGTGGTATGGCAGGGTTATATGGAACATCTATGTTTAGCTTTCTGAGGAACCTCCAGACTGCCTTCCAGAGTAGTTGTATTAGTGAACATTTCCACCCTCAATGCAATAGGGTTCATCTTTCTCCACATCCCCATTAGCATCTGTTGTTGGCTGAATTTAGGATATGGGCCATTCTGACTATGCTAAGGTGGTATCTCAGTGTTGTTTTTATTTGCATTTCCTTTACAGCCAGTGATGATGAACATTTCCTCATGTGTTTCTTTGCCATTTTTATCTCTTCTTCTGAGAAGTCTCTCTTTATCTCCCTTGCCCATTTAATAATTGGTTTGTTAGATTTGGCAGGGATTAGTTTCTTGAGTTCCTTGTATATAATAGATATTAGGCCTTTGTCTGATATATTGCTGGTAAATAATTTCTTCCCAATTAGTTGGGTGTCTTTCTAGTTTGGTATTTATGTCTTTAGCTGTGCAGAAATTTTTTTTTAAGGTAGTCCCATATGTCGAGTCTCTCTCCAATTTGTTGTGACCCTGAGACTCTGTTTAGGAAGTTCCTGACTAATGCCTGTAAGTTCAAGTGTCTCCCCTACTCTGTCCTGAAGTAGTTTCAGAGTTCCAGGTTTGATGTTAAGGTCTTTAATCACATTTTGAGTTGATGCTAGTATATGGTGACATGCTAGACTTTTAGTTTTCTGCATGTGGCCACCCAGTTTAAATGTAAGGTTTTTTTTGTAAAGTATTCTGTAAGGAGTCTGGAATTCATTGGTAGTTTTTGTGATATTCTGTTTTGATTTCTAATTGTATTAATGTGGGTCTTTTCCTCTATGTTTGAGTCAAATCAGTTAAGGTTTCAGCAAACCTAATTTTGTTATCAAAGCACTATTTGTTTATTGCTTCATCATATAATATTGTTAGTCTCCATTTCATGAATTTCTGATGTAATCTTCTTTCTTTTTATTAAATCAATTATTTTTACTGGAAAGGTTATGTATAGAGAGGGATTACAGTTTTATACTTCAGGTGATAAGTACATTTCTTTTTGAGCAGTGTCATCTCTTCCCTCATTTTTTTCCCCGATAATTCCCCCTAGAAATAGTACAGTTCATTTTCCTTTCCTGTGCTCCCCTTTAATCTCCCCAAAACAGATAAACTTACATAGAAGAAAATAAAAAACAGAAACAAAGGAGGTGAAAAAAGAAAGAAAACAAAAGCTTGTCTTGTTCCCATTTCTCGGAGTTCATTTCAATAAACATCATTTTATACGATCATATACACATAGCTATTCATAAGGAAATGGAAAGACTTGGAAAAAATATTAAGCAAAGTAAGCCAGACCCAAAGAAACATAGGTTGCATGGTTTCCCTCATTTGTAGTAATTAGAATGTGCTTAGAAATCTACAAGTAAACACAATGGATAGTAAGAGAGAAAAAATTACACTTGGACATGATAAATTAAGCAGGACCCTAAACATTCACACAGTGAGACCAAGACCAAAGGAGGATCACAACAGCTCAATAGCTATGTGCATATGACCTAAAGTTTATTATTTCTATCTGCTAAATTAGAAAGTGGCTTATTATTATTTCTCTAAGACATTGAAGTTCATCATTATGCCATATGATGTAGGTATGCTACATCATTTTAGACCGATAGATAATCTTGATGTAGGTGTTAGACTATTTGAAATTCTTTGTTTTGTTTTGATGTTCATAGCTCTGCATTGCCCTCTGACCACTGCTGTTGCTATATCCCCAAAATTCTAGAGATCTGTGTTCTCATTTCATCATATTCTAGAAACATTTTGATTTTTTTCTTCTTCTTTTATGACATAATCATGATTCAAAACAATCTGTTGTTTAATATCCATCTAACGATATTTTCTGTAATTTCTTTAGCTCTTTCTGGTTTTACTCCACAATAGTTTGACACAATATAAGAAATTATTTCAGGCCGGGAGCCAGTGGCTCAAGCCTGTAATCCTAGCTACTCAGGAGGCTGAGATCTGAGGATCACGTTTCAAAGCCAGTCTGGGCAGGAAAGACCATGAGACTCCTATGTCCAATAAACCACTAGAAAACCAGAAGTGGAACTGTAGCTCAAGTGGTAAAGCGCTCCCCTTGAGCTGAAGAACTGAGGGACAGCGCCTAGGCCCAGAGTTCAAGCCCCATATCCCACCAAAAAAAAAAAAATTTATTTCAATGTCCTTATACTTACTACATGTCCTAAAATACAATCTATTTTAGAGAGAATTCCATTGGCTGCTGAGAAGAAAGTATACTGCAAAGCAGCTGAACAAAATCTATATAGATGTCTATTAGGTCCAGTGGGTATACACAGTCATTTAATCCTAAGGTTTCTTTGTTGATTTTTGTTGTGTGGATTACTTACTATTGTTGATAACTGGATATTAAAGTTCTCAACTATTATTCTCTTAGGGATTTATCTCTGATTTTTAGTTTAATAAAGTTGGGCATATTTCATGCACATAAGTTTTGCCTCAATAAATTGTACCATTTATTAATATGAAATCACATATCTCTTCTAATTTTGAAATTGTACCATTTATTAATATGAAATGACATATCTCTTCTAATTTTGAAGTCTAGTTTATCAGATAATAGTAAAGTGAGCCCTGTTTTCTGGGTCCATTTGCTTGGAAGATCTTTTTCTATCTGGTTACCTTAAGCTAATGTTTGTGCTTGTCAGTGAAATACATTCTTTGTTGTCAAAAAATGGTCGAGTCTTGCTTTTAAATCTAACTTGCCATTCTATGTCTTGTAATTGGAGAATTGAAGAAATTTACATTCAGTGTTAATATTGAAAGATATATAGCTTTGCTTTTCATTTTGTTGTTTTATGATCTATGATTTTCCTATTCTTCATCAGGTGAAGTACTCACGTAGTGAAATGCTTATTTTTTCCTATCATTTTCCTAATTGTGTTTATCTTCCTCTTTGATATGTATGATTTCTTTAATACTTCCTATGGTGAGGGTCTGTTAGTGTGTGAATGTATGCAGAAACATGTATACATATATTTTCTGTGTCTTCCTTAGCCTTTTTAAGCATTACCAAATTTGAGAACTTGACGATGTCTGTTAACATACATTAATATTTAACACATATACACAGAAATACAAACACATATATATTTATAAAATTATTTACAAGCCAGAATGTTTGCAGGATTCCCTCAGTTATAGTACAGATATGCAAATGGAATAAATATTGAAACCATTCCAACATCAAAATGACAGAATAATATCAAGCACATAATATAGACAATGTAACTAGGAAATCGTGAAGCTCTGCTTACCAATTCTGTAATAATGATCCAACTTATCCCACAGAGTTTCATTATTAGTTCTTGGAAGATTAATGCTTTTCAGAGGTTCATAAACCGAGCCTACAAGAAAAATTAAAGGAAATTAAATTCAGTCATATCATCCAGATAAACAAAGAAAGGTTTGAAACAAAGAAGCACTACTTAACATATTAATTTCATTTTCATATTTGAATGACCATGTTTTACTAGTACCAAAACTCTGTTAAGGGAAGGAAAAAGAAGGCAGTCTTGAAAATAAGCAGAGAGGAACTTTAACTGTCCCAGGGCACTCCCACCATTACAACCAGCATTTGATCCAACTTTCTGGTATATATGTTGGTAGAACAACTCAACTATCACTAATACTCCTGTGGTAGTCACAAGCTAATTTTTCATTAGTAAGAAGAATATCTAATTATTGATCCTTAAATCCTAACCTTATTTCTTATGCTAATGCTTCATCAGATAGTAATATTCTGACAAATGCTTATACCCAATAACCTCAAAGAAAAAGGATTATTCTCACATTTTCCAAATTGATACAGTAAAAAAAGAATTCAGTTAGTTTCATACTGAAATACTTAAATCTCAACTTTTTCCTATATAAGTAATATTCCTGACTTAGTATCTGGATTGTAAATAGAGATCAATTTTCTTATTCAGATATGAAAATTACTCTAAACTCAAAAACTACAGGAAACAAAATATTCATGATAATATGCCACAAAATGGATACAGAAAATTGGTCACTTGACTACTGTACTTACTGAACTAGTGCAAGAAAAATGTCTGAAAGTTTAAACATTAGACTAAGTACTGTCACTCATTTTCATTAAAAGCACTATGAAATCTTTAACATCTTAGGGTTACATTCATCTATCTCTAGTTTTAGGCAATGTATACCATATAGTATAATGATATAACACAAAAAATGAATCTATAATTTATTTCAAAAGAGAGAGAGATAGTGGGGAGCTGGTGGCTCACGCCTGTAATCCTAGCTACTCAGGAGGCTGAGATCTGAGGATTGTAGTTCAAAGCCACCCCAGGCAGGAAAGTCCGAGAGACTCTTATCTCCAATAAACCACTCGAAAACCAGAAGTGGCACTGTGGCTTAACTGATAAAGCACTGGTCTTGAGCTGAAGACCTGAGGGACAGTGCCGAAGCCCAGAGTTAAAGCCCCACGACAGACCAAAAAAAAAAAAGAAGAAGAGAGATAAATTGTTAGACATGCAATCAAGATTATAAGTTTAAAGAAAAGGCATTTATTTTCATAAAATTGCTATGTGTGGTATGCAGGTTTAAATCAAGTTACTGATAATCTTAAGTTTAGGCTAATAATAAATACTATAAAGAAACTAACAAAAAGAATCTATTCATTCAGACAAAAATTCCATTATCTTCTTTGGAAAGTAAAATGTTTTACAGATAAAAATATGGAATAGGAAACAATGTGCTCTGGGTAAAGATTCAGAAAAGTCTCTTCATAACATCACTAAGTGAAATAGTCTTGTAGTAAAAAACTGAAAGATATGAGAACTGGAAGATCATTATGACTCCTAGCATCATCCTACACAAAAAACAATGGCCCATCTCAGTCTTCTGCCTTCCTGCATTCAACAGGCACTGAAAAGAAGATGAAGATGCTAGAAAATAGAAACACAGTCTATGGATGAGAATATGAAAATGGCTATGCCATTGAAAACAATCTATAGACTCAATATAATTCCCATCAAAAGTCCTATAATATTCTGCACTGAAATAGAATAATCAATCCTGAAATTCTTTTGGAAGCATAGAAGACTCCAAATAGCAAAAACAATCCTGTGCAATTGTATGAAGTATCACAATATGTAATTTCAAATTACACTACAGAGCTACAGTAACAAGCATAGCATGGTACTGGTACAAAAAGGCACACTGACCAATCTGAGAAAGTAGAACAGCCAGAAATACACCTACACAGCTAGTACCATCAGACAGATATTCAACAAAGGCACCAAAAATCAACATTAGAAAAGAAACAATCACTTCATGTTGGGAAAGCTGCATAGCTACATGTACAAGAAGAATTGATACCAGTTCCTTCTCATATTGTACAAAAAATCAATTAAAAATAGATCAAAGGTATTATTATACAATCTGAAATTTTAAAATTGCTATATAGGCATAAAAACACTTATCTGAATAGAATTGTAATAGCTACACTAATAAGAACAGTTAAAAAGTGGGACCACATCACATTAACAAGCTCCTATAGTGCTCACTTTGGCAGCACATATACTAAGAAGCTCCTATATAACAACAGAAACAAATGCCAAAGTTTACATATGCACTATTTACAATATTCAAAATAAGGAAATAGCCTTGGTGTCTATCAGCCAATAAATGAATAAAGAAAGTTGCATATATCCACAATGGGGTCTACCACAAAGAGTTGATACATTTTTTTCAGGAAAATGGATGGATCTAGACATTATCATATTAAAACACAATAAGCCACACTAAGAAAGACAAACATCACATGTTTTCTCTCATATATAGTCTAAGAAAGACAAACATGACATCTTTTATCATAAGTAGTTTAATCCTTATAAACGAATGAAAGGAATGTAAAGTATACATTTATGTATACATTGTAGTTATATAAAATATTTTATAAGTAAGTATGAGGAGGAGGAGGCAGGGTAACAAAAGGGTAAAGGAGGTTGCATATGGTCACAGTACCTTTATATACATGTATGAAAGTAGAACAAACTGGGGCTGGGAAGGTGGCTCAATGGTAGAGCGCTTGCCTTGCATGCATGAGGCCCTGGGTTTGATTCTTCAGCACCACATAAGCAGAAAGAAAAAAGCTGGAAGTGGCGCTGTGGCTCAAATGGTAGAGTTGAAGAGGTGAGGGACAGAGCCCAAGCCCAGAGTACAGGCCCCAGGACCAACAACAACAACAAAGAAAGTAGAATAAGCTGAGAGCAAAGAAAGGAGTGACACTGTCCAAAAGGAAAAGTATTTATTACCTGACTTATTTAACTATAACTATGCTGTTCATCACCTTAAAATAACAAAAAAAAGTAAAAGAGAAAATACAAAAAAAGGAAGAATAACAAAGCCTGTTAAAATTATTTTAACTGATGGGAGGGGCAATGATGAAAAGCAATAGAAGAGCTGAATTTGAACAAAGTATACTGTACTCATGTTTGGAAATTCACAATGAAACCCCTTTGCCAACTAATATATACTCATGAAATTTAATATCCCCCTAAAACACAACAAAAAAGAAGTAAAACCTTGCAAAGACTCAAAGGGATATTTAAAGAAATTGCAATGTAACAAAAAAATGACAATCAAGTAGTTCAAAAGTTTGAAATTTTAAAATATCACAGTACATTCAGCATCTTCAAGATCTTTGATACCTTCTTGAGAAACAGAGAAGCTGAAATTGATTTTCTTTTTCTGTTCAGTTTCATCATGCACAGAAATTTAAAACATTTAAGGAATAAGTGTGTTCTCAATATGAGAATAAATACATAGGTGTGACATTTTCATTAACTGAAGTGCCTTGGAGATATTAAAGGAATTCAGCATATTTGAATAACATAAATAAACTGAAAAATGTACTGACACACAGCAAGAAATGAACAGTATGATTCTACATGTTACAAAACTAAGCATAACTATATATGTTTGCAAATGTACAATTTAAATACATCTGAAAACTTAAAAGGATATACAAAAATTGTTAAATATTGTTTGCTACTGAGGGAAGGAACATGATTTTTATTTCATATAGCTCCATCTAAATATTATATAAAAAGGTATTTGCTACTTAAATAATTTTTAAATGGGAAAAAGAATGCCTAGGCACTATATAAGATATTTGACAATTTAAATAAATTATCCAATTTCAAGGTCTTGACAAGACTATAAGGTTGATATTAAATCGAGGTACAGAGAAATTATTATGATGGCTCATACCTGTAATCCTAGCTACTCAGGAGAGTGAGATCTGAAGACTGCAGTTCGAAGCCAGCCTGGGCTTTTAGAAAAGTCCATGAGACTTTTACCTCCAATAAACCACTCAGAAAAAGCCAGAAGTGGTGCTGTGGCTCAAGTGGTAAAGGACTTGTGCACAAAGACCCCAGGCTCTGAGTTCAAGCTCTGCCCCTCGCCCCCCAAAAAAGTACAAATTTTAACACAAATCTCACTGAAGAAGAATTATACGTATGGTTCTCTTCCTTATATCATAAACTATCACCAAAAGAAAGAGCTTTCCTAAGATGAGCTAAATGCCCTTATTTTTTTTTCTTCTGCCTTAAACAGTAGACTGATCCAAAATTATATGTATATGTGGACCATTTTTATTTTTATTATTTATATATTTATTATTTTATTTACTTAATGACACTTACCCTATTATTAGATTTCATTTGAACATTCAAGGAAGTTTTTTTTTTGGCAGCACTAGGGTTTGACCGAAGGCCTTCACACTTGCCAGGCAGGCTATCAATCATTTGAGCCACACCTCCAGCCTCATTTTTCCTCTAATTATTTTTGAGATAGGGTAAAAGACCAGCTACTATGAATCTTCTTTTTTGTCTTAATTTTTAAGCAGTTGTACAATTCTATAAGTCATGAGTACAATGCATGTTAGTCAATGTTATCCCTTCCATCATTCTGACCCATTTTCCCCCTCCTATCTCTACTCTCAAGTTATATAGCTCAATTTTTACATAATGTGCATTGAATATAATAACTGCATTTGCTTACTTGTTTTTAACTCTGTACTTCTCTATAGTTGATAGTAATCCAGGTAAGAAATGTATTTTAAGTACAAAATATAAACTGGTAAATATGAATAACATAGTTTTATAAAAATGAAGCCACATTTACCTGTTCAACTTAGTCAAATAAAATGTGAAAAGGTCATTCCACTGTTTCTATTTTATTTTTAATAAAAAGGTATTAGGTTCTTCCAGTGACCTTTAGAGAAAGAGCATGGCCCATAAAATCTATTTAAGGCATTCAATCTGGTTGATGTTTCATGTGTTGACCTTATGAATACCAATTACTCAATTAGCTT